CAGACCCAATGGTTGAATAGTCAGTGTTTTTCAGTCTAACACTGTTTTTCAGTCTAACGGTGGACCGATAACAGAGACTAATGTAGACGTCTCTTTCTGAGTCTTTCACACCACACACGACCAAATTCAATTCATCCAGCCTCAGAGAATATGAATCGTTTAATATATATATCCTTCAAAACTTCAACCTGAGAGACCTATCTACCTATCTTAATGGAGGAGCCGCTACTGGACACAGCTTCAGGCGCTGATCAGTTGAGCACTAAGCCTCATGATCTGTATGAAGGTGGGAATGAAGACTATGCCCCATTGAGGAGCTTCGATGCGCTGCGGTGTATGTTTTGGATTGAGACAGTGAAGCTCTGGAAAATGGCAGGTCCGGCAGTGATCACTATGTTGTGTATGTATGGGACTAACTTTGCTGTCGTTCTCTTTGTTGGTCATCTCGGAACTGTAGAGCTCTCAGCTGTCTCCATTTCTCTAGCCGTCATTACCACATTCGCTTTTGGATTCTTGGTCAATTTTCTTCCCCTTTAGTTCCTCATATGTCAGTTTTCTGACATGTTATATCATATATATATGTTGCCAGACTAGGAATTTGAAGTTTCGATTATTAGTTAAGCACATGAAATGAAATAACATTACATATGTATTTGGAAAGAGAACCTTGATGATTGTTGGTTTTAGAAAGTGTGTGAGTGGCGCTCTGATACCACTGTTGGGTTTTTAAAAGAACAATAGAATGATTTTATTTATTTGACAATAGGATGGATACAAGGCTTAGCTATTTGGCCTGTTAGTTGTAGCTATTGGCCTTTATCACTAGATTGATTACAAATAGAAAGCTTAGTGCCTATTTATAGAGGGAACAACCATCTAGTAAAGTGGTTATTCTAGTGAACCTGTAACTTGTAATTCCAGCCGCTTATATTGTAGTTTCAACTAGAACTTTCAACTAGCTTCTATTAAGTTAGCGACTAGTGTTTAGGGAATACATCCGCCGACTTTGCATTCTAAATTATCCTAGAAAATTCTGCTAGCTTGTAGAATCTCCACCAAATGTGCATTATTTTCAACAATGATGCATGAATTGTACCAATATGGCAACTTTAAGAACGTCAAAAATATGAAGAATAAATATGTTATGTTTATGCAGTTTGGCATGGGGAGTGCTCTGGAGACCCTGTGTGGGCAGGCATTTGGAGCTGGCGAGATTCATATGCTTGGGATTTACATGCAGCGCTCATGGATAATCCTATTAGTAACCAGCCTCTTCATCTTGCCAATTTACATCTTTGCCACACCCGTTTTGAAGTTGCTAGGTCAAGAAGATGACATAGCCAATCTAGCTGGAGAATTTACTATCCAAACAATCCCCTCATTGTTCTCACTTGCCATTATTTTTCCATCTCAGAAGTTCCTTCAGGCTCAGAGAAAGGTTATGGTTCTGGCATGGATTGCAGTTTTGGGTTTGATCATACAAATTGGACTGCTGTGTCTCTTCATTTTGGTGTTTGGTTGGGGCACAATGGGTGCAGCTGTTGCATTTGACATTGTAAGATGGGGCTTGGCAATTGCTCAAGTTGTGTATATAATGGGTTGGTGCAGGGACGGCTGGACTGGGTTTTCATGGTTGGCTTTCAAGGAGATATGGGCTTTTGTAAGACTTTCCCTTGCCTCTGCTGTCATGCTCTGCCTTGAGATTTGGTACACGATGAGCATACTCATTCTCACAGGCCATCTTGATAATGCAGTTATAGCAGTTGGTTCCCTTTCTATTTGGTAATTAACATCTTAATGCTAATACCATGGTGGCTAATGATAAGCTTTTGATACCTAATGCTAATATACCATTCTCTTCTTTTCCTTTCGCAGCATGAACATTAACGAATTTGAACTAATGTTGTTCATTGGAATAAATGTGGCAGTAAGGTGAACAAGCATTGCATATTGCATTTGAATGATTATTCTCATGCTGGTGAATGAGTTAATTAAGGTTTTTAATTTCCACTAATAATGCAGTGTGCGTGTCTCCAATGAGCTTGGATCAGGACGACCAAGAGCAGCCAAATACTCTGTCTATGTGACAGTATTTCAGTGTCTTCTAATTGGGATTTTTTTCATGATTGTGATCTTGATAACCAAAGACAGTTTTTCCCTACTTTTTACAAGTGATAAGGAGCTGCAACAAGCGGTCGCTAAGCTAGCATATCTTCTTGGTATAACCATGTTGCTCAACAGCATCCAGCCAATAATATCAGGTACCCGTTTGATGTGCGACTAAGTTTATGAAATGTTATACAAATAATGCCACTTCTTCTGCTGATGCCCATGTTTGCTTGCTTGCTTCTTGAAGGGGTTGCAATTGGAGGTGGATGGCAGGCACTGGTAGCTTATATAAACTTGGGTTGTTACTACATTTTTGGACTTCCTCTTGGATATCTTCTTGGTTATACTGCAAATCTGGGTGCGATGGTAAGTTAAGATATATGGTATCATTTCCAAATTCCAAGTAGGTTACGTTAATTCATCACAAGTGTTTGATGCAGGGAGTTTGGGGGGGCATGATATGTGGAACTGCTCTCCAAACCTTGCTTCTGATGATTGTGCTCTACAAAACCAACTGGAACGAAGAGGTATAATCAATATTTCAATTCATTGCAAATCATAAACAATGTGAGATTTGAAAATATCCACATTGAAATGAAACTGCAGGTGGAGCAAGCAACAAAACGCGTGAGGAAGTGGGGTGGTCAAGACGTCACAGCTGAGAATGGAGCTCAAAGTACCTGAAATTCTTTGCTCCTTCAATGTTCAATGTTCAAAATTTTTGTTTTGGATGAATAAATATCCTTAAGTACAAGTACAAAAAAGGCAATGATATAGTGAGATTTCTAGCTTTGCCATTTTCGGAGGCCAATGCATATTCCTCTGTTCATAAGCTTAACGGTGTCGGCGCCTATTTTTTGGACTTTGGCCAACCATTACCATGATTTGAGTATGGTATGAGCCACACTACACCTAGCGACGGTCCTTTTTTTTTTTTTTTTTTTTTTTTTTTTGGTGGCAATTTCAATTATATTTTCAATAAAACTTAAAAGCCCCAAAAGGTTTTGGTTACCTTGTCAAAAAAGAAATAGACTTGTGGGTTGTTTTAACATGGTCGACAACATCATATTACAATGAAAAAAAAACGAAAAAAAGAAGAAGAAAATATGAATTTCTGTTATTCTAGAGAATGAGATATTTTTGGCACAATAAGATGACAAAAGTATAGATATAATTACTCTGCTTCAGTCTTTCACACCACACACTGTAAATGTGTTAACTATAATGGCTCCTCGCCATCACCATGCTTGCTAGGTAGCTAAAGTGGCTGTCATTGCCCACAAAACAACAAATATTGAAAATCAAATTCATGTTCTATCAGAGCATGTAGTACTATTGCTCATAAACTCTCATATTCATTGGTGAGTTTGGTTTGGAGTAAATTAATGGAAACACCGTTGCTCAAAGGCAAAGGCGAAGCGGAGGCAGCTGATGATGACTATGCGGCAGTGAGGAGCTTTGAGGAGGCCATGTGGGTCTCTTGGAAGGAGGCAGCGATGCTCTGGAGAATTGCAGCTCCGGTGGCGTTTACAACTCTGTTTCAGTACCTGGTTCTGTCTGTCACCACCGTCTTTGTGGGTCATCTCGGAGATCTTGAGCTCTCTGCTATTTCCCTTTCTGTCACTGTCATCTCTGGCATCCCTTTTGGTTTACTGGTTTGCATCTATTTACATCTGCTTCTGTTTCTATTTCTATTTCTATATATATATGTGTATATATGTATATTATATGTTCATGTAAAATGTGACTGTTTACATGTTTATATTGTTTTGAGTTGTTTACTCTTATTAATTAATTATAGGGAAAGTTTTAACTTTTGAGTGAGTTCAGTTGCATTTATTAGGTGAATATATGGTCACATTCTCCTTAGTCTTTTGGCTATATATATATTTTTAGAGAGAGAGAGAGAGAGAGAGAGAGAGAGAGAGAGTATATAGCATAGCAGTTTGCACGTCTCCTTTTGATTTTCTGTTAAATGCTCAAGGGCTGTTTGACTTGAATATTTGTAATTCTGTGGCCAATTGCAGCCGCAATTTTTAGAAATGTTGCTTAAGAGATGACTTGTGTTGAAGGAATGAAAGAGAGACTAATTTAATTTAGCTATGCATTTATGTATGTAGCAAGGTATGGCAACTGCACTGGGAACGCTTTGTGGTCAAGCATATGGTGCAGGCCAAGTTGGGTCACTTGGAATCTATATGCAGCGGTCATGGATTGTCCTATTGATCACCTGTATCATCCTTTCACCGGTTTATATTTTTGCTGCTCCAATACTGGAGATTTTAGGCCAAGAAAGTGATATAGCTGATCTTGCTGGAAAATATAGTGTAAAGATAATTCCTCAGTTGTTCTCCTCTGCCATCTTTTTTCCCACTCAGAGGTTCCTTCAGGCTCAGAGCAAGGTTAGTGCAATGGCATTGATTGCTTTTGTGGCGCTGATCGTACAAACTGGACTGCTTCATCTTTTCATCAATGTGTTTGGCTGGGGAACCACTGGTGCAGCTGTGGCTTATGACATCACACACTGGGGAATTACAGTTGGTCAATTTGTGTATATTATGGTTTGGTGCAAAGAGGAGTGGACTGGATTTTCATGGCTGGCATTTGAGGACATTTGGGCTTTTGCCAAGCTATCCCTTGCCTCATGCATGATGTTTTGCCTAGACTCATGGTATACCATGACCATAAACATTCTCGCAGGTTTACTTGAAAATGCAGTGATTGCTGTTGGTTCCTTTTCTATATGGTAAGATCATATTTATGCTGGTTTGCACTTGTTCTCACCTCCATGACTGAAAGCATCAAACTAATTGTAGTTCTTATTTCTTTCATATTTTTGTTCTTTTAATTAGCATGAACTTTCAGAATTGGGAGATCATGTTGTTGGTTGGACTAAATGCTGCTATAAGGTAAATGTTGCTCTATATATATGTACTGCACTTTCCATGCATTTTTCTCGTGTTGATAAGATCACATCATTGATAACGATCAACAACCATCCGTACGCAGCACTCGAGTCTCCAATGAACTTGGAATGGGGCGCCCAAGAGCGGCCAAATACGCTGTCTGTACTGCAGTCTTGCAATCTCTCATAGTTGGAATTTTATCTATGATTGCTGTCTTCATAAGTAGAGACTACTTTGCCATGGTTTTCACAAACAGTGAAGATATGCAACGTGCCGTTGCTCGTTTAGCATACTTTCTTGGTGTAACCATGCTTCTTAATAGCGCAACAGTAGTGTTATCTGGTATATCTCTTTCAGCGTTGCTTGCTTCTCCTCACTTCACTAGTTCTGCTCATGCAATGTTCCACTGTTAACCCTCCCTCCAACTTCCAAGCCTCCTTTTTCTAATTGGTGTTTTTTTTTTAATCCTGTTGCAGGTGTTGCTGTTGGAGGTGGATGGCAAGTGATGGTTGCTTATATAAACTTTGCTTGTTATTATCTATTTGGGCTCCCACTTGCAATCTTTCTTGGATTTAAAGCAAATCTGGGTGCTCTGGTACTAATACTAGCTTCTCTATCTTTCATATGACACAAAATACAGTTGTAATTTGCCACATTGTCAGATTAATTTAGTTTAAAATTATGGATGTTACAACATAGGGACTTTGGGGTGGCATGATGAGTGGAAGTGCGCTTCAGATCTTATTCTTATTGATTGTGACTTCCAGAACCAACTGGAACAGAGAGGTAATCACTAGAATCTCATATGCAAACCTATTCCTATATATCATAAACTAATCTTAATATTGCATCTCATCTCATGGTTGAATTTGTATTTCAGGTGGAGCAAACAACAAAGCGCATCAACAACTGGGGAAGCCAATAAACAAAAACTCAAACAAGCGCAGCTGGGCTGAGTTGGAACTGGACTTGGGCCCACCGTCTTTACGAATCGCCGTCTTGTTCTTCTCATGGATCACTAGTGGACGACTACACTGGTACCCATGGACATTTAAAAGGTTGAGTAAAGGTTTGTTAGAGTTTTGGGTCTCCATCTGTGCTCACATCCACTTTGGGTAGGGTTCCATGAGAGAGCCAAAAGCCTCCCATAATCATACGCATGACTGAAGAAACTCTTAGTATACTAAGCACTCAAAAAACTTATCACTAGCTCTTAATATAGTAGTATTTCATTTCTTCCTCTATAATTATTATTATAAAAATAAAAACTTAAAAAGCATCTCTTGATTTACAATTCCCTGCCCTTGAGTGCAATTTCGCACTTATCTTAATACAAGTAAAGAGTGTAAGACAAATCTTTTGAACTGCGAATAATAATTTTTATTATTATTAACACTTGAAAAAATGAAGCAAGAGTGAAAATTTTGGGGAAATAGTAGTAGGTATGTTGGATTTATTCAGGTCCATTCATTTCAGCAATTATGGGTGTTTAGTACCAGAGACGTGGACAATGAACCATCGATTACCATACCAAACTTTTTTAAGTTTGAGTGTGTGTCTGGTGCTGAGAAAATCTTACCAAGTTGAAGGTGAGGTGGTTGGATTCTTGTGCTGCTGGTGTGCTGTGCAAACAAGGGAAATAATTATACATGGATACGTACGATGACCAATATATGTTCCATTGAGGATTGAGCATGTATAATGTGTGGTATGGGGCTAGCCTAGCCTAGCTATATTTGGTACCAAACAGTCGGCATTTCCACTGGGAGGAGGAAACTTTGAAGTCTCAAGAGCGATTGGTAGGTGGGCGAGAGAGTGGTGGTTCAAAACTTCATTATTTGGTCTTTGGAATTACACTGGAAAATTTGAACGGTGGGCTTTGAGTTTACGTAAGTCTAGCTAAATCCAAGACCATTCTTTGATATTTGCAAATCTTTCTGAGTTGTGACACTGACATTCACAAAGATGACTGAGAACCACGTGCTAACTGTCGCCATGTGTATGACCAAAATTGGAACAAGACGAGCTCATGCAAAGCATAGCTTACCTAATTTGATTTTTCTTTCTTCTAGATTAAAATTAACAATACTTTGCAAAGTTTTCCCCAAGCCGTGCAGATTTTTTTTTATAGTACAAGTCTACGTTACAAGAGGAAGGAGGAAGGGAAGTTTCACGTACATTATTAAGGCGTCATAAAAATTTGAACTTGGGACTAATAATATATAAATTAAAGTCCTTTTACACAAGCCGTGCAGAATTTATTAATTAGTTACTAAGCAAGCCTTGATATAATTATATATGGATTCACCTAGATTTAAATAGGTTGCAGTCTAGCACTAATTGTGATTGTTTCTTTTTCCATTAATTAACAGAGTAAAAACAAAAAACAAATTAATTACACGAGAAATAAAGTAATATTTTAAGTCAAAGAAGAGGAGTAAAAGTCAAAGAAGAAGTATATAAGTATGGGACTTCGTGAACCAAAACCACACCAAACCAAAACGCAACACACGCCACCCAGCCTTAGCACAGTCGGATTCATCTCCGGCCGCCAGCTAGCTCCCTCCCACTTCATATCAGGGCCGTGCTTGTGGTCCTGCAGTATTTAATTCATATGGAGGCGCCACTGCTTCCGGCAGTGAACGGCGGCGATGTTCGAGACTATGAGCCGGTGACGAGCTGGAAGGATGCTCGGTCGGTGACGTGGAGAGAGACTCAGAAGTTGTGGAAAATAGCGGGGCCCGTCGCCTTCACAATCATCTGCAACTTTGGGACCAACTCTGTTTCCACCATGTTCGTCGGACACCTCGGAAACCTTCAGCTCTCTGCCGTCTCAATCTCTCTCTCTGTGATCTCAACCTTCTCTTTCGGCTTCATGGTAAATTAGCTCTAGCCACCCTTCCATTTCATTTATTGATTCAATGCATATAATTCACATACCATAATTCATATATAATTAATGGGGTGCATGCAATGCGCATGTCGTCAATTTATACATATAGCCTAGGTGGGGTGAGATTTAATAACTCTGTCTTTTTCTACTTGATTTATGTTTTTATGATTTGGGTTCTTCTGTTGCACTCGTCTTCTTCTTCATGCTTTTCTTTTATCTGTTTTTTTTTTAACGTATGTTCGGTATTCCTCAGTTTTCAAAATATTCTGATTATTTATTTATTTATATATTAAAATGGTTAAATGCATATACTTTCTGTGAAATAGGCGGCACACACCCTTCCAGTCTCAGAGGCTGACTAAAGTTGAGTGGAGAGTTTTTATATGTTTCTATTGAAAGTTGTAGTCTTTGAATCATACTCTGTTTCACAGTTGAGAAAAGCTCGGAAATGATAAGAGATTTTGTATGAGAGAGAGAGAGAGAGAGAGGATAACGAGCCCAAAAAATTTGAAAAATCAACCCAATTATTCTAATGGATTAGCCTTTGTATTTTGGATAAATCATATTAACGAACAGTGAAAAATCAAATCTAATTTAACCAATTTTTTTAAAATCGAAATCTAATTAAAAGGAATACTCAAAACTCTGTCTTTCCCCCCTTTGAATTATTCTAATGGGTTGTCTTACTAATATGGAATTATGTATGTATGTATGTATGTATGCATGCATATGATAGATCATTCAAATCAAATGCATGATTGCCCCCACTCCTATTTTATCCACTTACACTCCTTTTTTAGTTATAAAAAAAGAGTGTAAGTGGATAAAATAGGAGAAAAAGGAGTGGGAAAATCACCACTCTTGATTAATTGGTATGCAGTATCTACTATGTTAGCTTAGAAGCAAAACCTATGTCATGGAATTGAAGGAGCTAAATTTGATAATTTGTACAAACTTGTAGCTCGGCATGGGCAGTGCATTAGAGACGCTTTGTGGTCAAGCATTTGGTGCTGGAAGGGTTAACATGCTTGGAGTATACATGCAAAGGTCATGGATCATTCTATTTACCAGCTGTGTTATCCTCACGCCAATCTACGTTTTCTCTGCCCCGATTTTAAAGCTTCTTGGGCAGGACGAAGAAGTGGCTGACCTCGCTGGAACCTTCACCATATATGTCATTCCTCAGTTATTCTCACTTGCCATCACGTTCCCTTCCCAAAAGTTCCTTCAGGCACAAAGCAAGGTTGCTGTTCTTGCATGGATTGGTTTTCTGGCCCTTATTGTACACATTGGATGGCTCTTTCTCTTCATTTACGTGTTGGATTGGGGCATCTATGGTGCAGCTATAGCATTTGATATCACAGGTTGGGAACTTGCGATTTGTCAAGTTATTTATATAATCGGTTGGTGCAATGAAGGGTGGAGTGGTTTTTCTTGGTTAGCTTTCAAAGACATATGGGCCTTTGTCAGGCTCTCGCTCGAATCAGCTGTCATGCTTTGCCTTGAGATTTGGTATATGATGAGTATAATCATTCTTACTGGCCATCTTGGCAATGCTGTGATTGCTCTTGATTCACTTTCTATCTGGTAAGGACCCAACTTCCTCCTTTTTGTTCTTGCAACCACATTCTACTTCTGCTGCTGATCCTTTGTTTTTTTTTCTTTGTCCTTCTTAGATTAGATGGTTTATGTACATTTCTGCATTCAAATTATGATGTTTTTTCTTGGATTTTTACTCAATCAATTGGCATTGCAGCATGAATCTCAATGGATGGGAAGCAATGTTGTTCATCGGAATTAATGCTGCAGTAAGGTAAGTACCAAGACTACTTTTATTATTTGGTGTACCTTGTATGTCATTGTCATCATACACAAACAACACTTTTTGAGGCAACAAAGGTGTTGTGCTTACGATTATCTCTGCTGCTGATTTTTCAGTGTTCGAGTTTCCAATGAACTTGGATTGGGACGTCCAAGAGCAGCTAAATTCGCTGTCTACGTGACAGTCCTTGAGTCTCTGCTCATTGGGATTGTTTGCATGATTGTCATCTTGATAACGAAAGACTACTTTTCTGTCATCTTCACAAGCAACGCGGAATTGCAACAAGCTGTTGCGAAGCTAGCATTTCTTCTTGGAATTACCATGGTTCTTAATAGTGTCCAACCCGTCATTTCGGGTATCAATCGAGTCACTTGGCTTTTCCTCAGTTCCCTCTCTGTATACAGGACTCTTCCCCCTTTTAATTTTTACTGTATTCATTATTTCAGGTGTTGCTATTGGAGGCGGATGGCAAGGACTGGTGGCTTATATCAACTTGGGTTGTTATTACATTTTTGGCCTCCCACTTGGATTCCTTCTTGGTTATACAGCAAACTTGGGAGTTAAGGTAACACATTTTCAGTCTCAGTTTCACAGCTAAATGGTTGTGAGATTCTTTCGTCTTCACGGTCTCTAATCTGTGTTTTGTCCAGCTAGTTTTTATACCAACATTTGTTCATTATTGTAGGGAATTTGGGGAGGCATGATATGTGGAACTGCTCTTCAAACGTTGCTTCTCTTGATAGTGCTTTATAGAACCAACTGGAACAAGGAGGTCAGTTGAATCTGTTATAGGAATCCATATGGTCCTTCAGTTTACTTTATAACTGATCACCAACTAGGATTTTCATTTACTTATGTCTTCAGCATTCTTGTTTAAAAGACAATAATCATAATCTTTTTTCTTGGCACAGGTTGAACAATCTTCGGAGCGAATGAAGAAGTGGGGTGGACAAAACGTTGAAGATGAGAAGATAGCTAACAACCGTATATGAACTTGATCCTAAAAGAAATTCACATCACGTTTCTCCTCAGACAAGACATCCTGACCTGAGTACCTAAAATCTCCCTGCTTATATTGGCCTGAATTTCTCTGGAAGTCATGTTTTAGAGTTGCAGGGTGCTCTTCCAATTTTTGTGTTGACACAATTTTAAACCAGCATGATTTGTTCCCGGCAGGAGATTTTACCTCCCTGTCAGTAGTACAGAATTCACCTATCAATTTGATTCAACTGGTTTGATCTGATTTCCCCTTTTCAGGGTAGTGTATGTTAATTTTGGTACTAAAAGTCACTATCTCTAAGAGATCCTTGCTTGCCATCAACTCCTTCTTCACCCCTATCTATGTTTCATTGTGATCAATAAACAAATCCAAACATTCAGAATTTCAATAGAAACAAACAATGAAACTTTTTATATATTCTTTCATGAATAGGAATTATTACCTGTGCCATTGTGTTGCCTCTTGAGCCAACAATCCTACAATCTTTATCCGGAAAATATCCCTTGATCTCAAAGTCCCAGTCTTTGTTTTGCCTAGCCTCGGTGGAGATTCTGACTGCATGAGTTCTTGCCAAACAGGAGTTTGGCTCTTTCAAACAGAAAATCAATTTAAGAAAACCAATTATATGTATTTTATAATTTTAGATTGATTTGACGATTATATCCCTGGATTTAACAGTTTTTTTAACAAATGTACTATTTAAGAGCACCCATATTAATATTAGGGACCATGAGTGATACAAAAAAACTTTAAGGATGCAATCTGATAGTTTCACAAATGTCATGGACATTTTGTGATAAAAAGCCTTTATGTTAAGTATTCGTTACATGCTTCTAATTTTAGCCGTTGAATTGTATTCATTAAATATGTTGGTAGTATTTTAAATGCAATCCAACAGCCGTGCAGAATTTATTAATTAGTTACTAAACAAGCCTTGATATAATTATATATAGATACACTTAGATTGAAATAGGTTGCAGTCTCAACTAAATGGGAATGTTTCTTTTTCCATTAATTAACAAAGTAAATAAAAAATAAAAAAAAATTACAGTTTTGAAATACAGTAATATGTAAGTCAAAGCGAATGAGTAAAAGTCAAAGACGAAGTTGGAGCTATATAATTATGGGACTTCATTCTCACGAAGTCACATAACCAAACCCACACCAAACCAAAACCCAACACACACCAACCCAGTTCACAACACTACCACCCAGTCTTAGCACCGACAAATTCATCTCCGGCCGCCAACTAGCTCCCTCCCACTTCATATCAGGGCCGTGCACGTGTTCCTGGAGTATTTAATTCATATGGAGGCGCCACTGCTTCCGGCAGTGAACGGCGATGAAGTTCGAGACTATGAGCCGGTGACTAGCTGGAAGGATGCTCGGTCGGTGACGTGGATAGAGACTAAGAAGCTGTGGAAAATAGGGGGGCCCATCGCCTTCACAATCATCTGCAACTTTGCGACCAACTCTGTTTCCATCATGTTCGTCGGACACCTCGGAAACCTTCAGCTCTCTGCCGTCTCAATCTCTCTCTCTGTGATCTCAACCTTCTCTTTCGGCTTCATGGTAAATTAGCTCTACCTACCTTCCATTTCATTTATTAATTCTCATGCAATGCAATGCGCATGTCGTCAATTTACACTCGTCTAGGTGGGGTGAGATTTAATAACTGTGTCTTTTTCTACTTGATTTATGTTTTCATGATTTGGGTTTCTTTTGTTGCACTCGTCTTCTTCTTCATGCTTTTCTTTGATCTGTATTTTTTTTATACAAATTTATAAATAAACCCAATTCTAGACATGTATTTATAAAAAAACTCAAGCACTATTTAAACATAGAAACACACCCAAAATCAACCCCAAATTTAACTTTTTGGGTGTGTTTATAAATGAGTTTTGAATGTGTGTAATGATGGGTTTTGAGTGTGTTTATATATTTAAATAGTGCTTGAATTTTTTTATAATTTCAACCCATATTTTACGTGTTTTAGTGAAATTCCTTTTTTTTAAGTGTGTTAGGTATGCCTCAGTTTTCAAAATATTTTGCTTTTTAATTAATTATTTATTTATTAAAATGGTTAAAAATATATACTTTCTGGGATTAGACGGCACACACCCTCCAGTCTCCGAGGCTGACTAAAGTTAAGTTGAGAGTTTTTCTATGTTTCTTATTGGGTCAACGAATCCATGTTCGTTATTGAAAGTTGTAGTCTTTGAATCATACTCTGTTTCTCAATACTCTGTTTCACAGTTGAGAAAAGCTCGGAAATGATAAGAGATTTTACATATATATATATATGTGATAATGATCCCTAAAAATTTGAAAAATGAACCCAATTATTCTAATGGATTAGTCTTTTTATTTTGGATAAACCATATTAACGAGCAGAGAAAAATCAAATTTAATTTAACCAATTTTTTTAAAATCGAAATCTAATTAAAAGGAATAGGCCTCGTCAATGGGCGGGCCTTTTAAAGGAACACTCAAAACTCTGTCTTTTCCCCCTCTGAATTATTCTAATGGGTTATGTCTTACTATTATGGAATTAAGTATGTATGCATGTATGTATGTATGCATGCATGCATACAGATGATAGATCATTCAAATCAAATGCACGATTGATTGGTATGCAGTATGTACTATGTATGTAGCTTAGCAGCAAAACCTATGTCATGGAATTGAAGGAGCTAAATTTGATCATTTGTACAAACTTGTAGCTCGGCATGGGGAGTGCATTAGAGACGCTTTGTGGTCAAGCATTTGGTGCTGGAAGGGTTAACATGCTTGGAGTGTACATGCAAAGGTCATGGATCATTCTATTTATCAGCTGTGTCATCCTCACGCCAATCTACGTTTTCACTGCCCCGATTTTAAAGCTTATTGGGCAGGACGAAGAAGTGGCTGATCTTGCTGGAACCTTCACCGTATATGTCATTCCTCAGTTATTCTCACTTGCCATCATGTTCCCTTCCCAAAAGTTCCTTCAGGCACAAAGCAAGGTTGCTGTTCTTGCATGGATTGGTTTTCTGGCCCTTATTATACACATTGGATGGCTCTTTCTCTTCATTTACGTGTTGGATTGGGGCATCTATGGTGCAGCTATAGCATTTGATATCACAGGTTGGGAACTTGCGATTTGTCAAGTTATTTATATAATCGGTTGGTGCAATGAAGGGTGGAGTGGTTTTTCATGGTTAGCTTTCAAAGACATCTGGGCCTTTGTCAGGCTCTCGCTCGAATCAGCTGTCATGCTTTGCCTTGAGATTTGGTATATGATGAGTATAATTATTCTTACTGGCCATCTTAGCAATGCTGTGATTGCTATTGATTCACTTTCTATCTGGTAAGGACCCAACTTCCTCCTTTTTGTTCTTGCAACCACCTTCTACTTCTGCTGCTGATCCTTTGGTTTTTTTTTTCTCTGTCCTTAGATTAGATGGTTTATGTACATTTCCACTTTCAAATTATGATGTTTTTTCTTGGATTTTTACTCAATCAATTGGCATTGCAGCATGAATCTCAATGGATATGAAGGAATGTTGTTCATTGGAGTTAATGCTGCTGTAAGGTATGTACCAAGACTACTTTTATCATTTGGTGTACCTTGTATGACATTGTCATCATACACAAACTACACTTTTTGAGGCAACAAAGATGTTTTGCTTACAATTATCTCTGCTGCTGATTTTTCAGTGTTCGAGTTTCCAATGAACTTGGATTGGGACGTCCAAGAGCAGCTAAATTCGCTGTCTACGTGACAGTCCTTGAGTCTCTGGTCATTGGGATTGTTTGCATGATTGTCGTCTTGATAACAAAAGACTACTTTTCTGTCATCTTCACAAGCAACGTGGAATTGCAACAAGCTGTTGCGAAGCTAGCATTTCTTCTTGGAATTACCATGGTTCTTAATAGTGTCCAACCCGTCATTTCGGGTATCAATCGAGTCACTTGGCTTTTCCTCAGTTCCCTCTCTGTATACAGGACTCTTCCCCCTTTTAATTTTTACTGGATTCATTATTTCAGGTGTTGCTATTGGAGGCGGATGGCAAGGACTGGTGGCTTATATCAACTTGGGTTGTTATTACATTTTTGGCCTCCCACTTGGATTCCTTCTTGGTTATACAGCAAACTTGGGAGTTAAGGTAAAACATTTTCAGTCTCAGTTTCACAGCTAAATGTTTGTGAGATTCTTTCGTCTTCACGGTCTCTAATCTGTGTTTTGTCCAGCTAGTTTTAATACCAACATTTGTTCATTATTGTAGGGAATTTGGGGAGGCATGATATGTGGAACTGCTCTTCAAACGTTGCTTCTCTTGATAGTGCTTTATAGAACCAACTGGAACAAGGAGGTCAGTTAAATCTGTTATAGGAATCCATATGGTCCTTCAGTTTACTTTCTAACTGATCACCAGCTAGGATTTTCATTTACTTATGTCTTCAGCATTCTTGTTTAAAAGACAATAATCATAATCCTTTTTTCTTGGCACAGGTTGAACAATCTTCGGAGCGAATGAAGAAGTGGGGTGGACAAAACGTTGAAGATGAGAAGATAGCTAACAACCGTATATGAACTTGATCCTAAAAGAAATTCACATCACGTTTCTCCTCAGACAAGACATCCTGAGTACCTAAAATCTCCCTGCTTATATTGGCCTGAATTTCTCTGGAAGTCATGTTTTAGAGTTGTAGGGTTCTCTTCCAATTTTTGTGTTGACACAATTTTAAACCAGCATGATTTGTTCCCGGCAGGAGATTTTACCTCCCTGTCAGTAGTACTGAATTTACCTATCAATTTGATTCAACTGGTTTGATCTGATTTCCCCTTTTCAGGGTTCTCTTTCATCATCAATAGTGTATGTTAATTTTGGTACTAAAAGTCACTATCTCTAAGATCAACATGCATAAGTTTATTGTTAGAATAGTAGCAAACAAGGGCTTGCAAAGGGTCAACAACAAAAGAAAAAACCATATGCTGAAAACTAGCTTTCTCGGAGATTCTCCAATAAGTATTCGTTACATGCTTCTAATATTGGCCGTTGGATTGTATTTATTAAATACGTTGGCAATATCTTAGATGCAATCCAACTACTGAAATTAGAAGTATGTAACCAATTCTTAACTAAAATACTTAATGGAGAATATCCCCTAGCTTTCTACTCAAGTAATTGACCAAAACTTCTACTATGATGAACAACTTCACTGGATCACTGCTGCTGATAAATCCAAAAGACCAGCCTTTTATTTTTCTTATTTTTCTTAAAAGTGTGTAAGTCCAAGCTTGATGGAGAAGCTTCTGACATGAAAAGTAAAATAATAATGATGATGAAATAAATTGAAAAAGCCTCTTTATTTTATCCTCGTTTCATAAAAGAAAGGGCGTTAATTATTGACAAATTTCATCGTCTCGCGTTATATATGTTCAGTACGTGTAATTCAACAACAACGTCAGGATGGCCGAGTGGTCTAAGGCGCCAGACTCAAGTTCTGGTCCTCTAACGAGGGCGTGGGTTCAAATCCCACTTCTGACATTTTGGCATGTACATTTTCTCGACTTTTTATTTAATTTTTTTTAGGCTGTGCAAAGTGTAGTTTTCCAAATTCCACTCTTGCCATAATTTTCTCGAGTGACTTTTTTTGCCGATGATGAAAGATGATTTAGGGGGCGTTTGGTATTAAATTCAAATAAAGAATTCAAAAATTTTGATTTTGATTTTTTTAAAATAAGGAGTTCTTAAGTCTATTTTTAATATTCAAAAACTTGTTTGTATGCAACTCGAAAATTGTTTTTAAATTTTAAAAATTTGAGAATTTGTGGGTTGTTAGAAAAAAATTGAAAAAAGATATATTTTTTGTTTTTAATAATTATGGTATTTTGTAGTTGTTCTTGAGTTTGAGTTTTTAAAAATAAGGCTACTAAATAATTTTTTTTTGTTTTGAATTCAAGTTGAATACCAAACAGACCTCACAAGGTATTGTCACTTCACATATTTCTAACATTAGCTAATAAATCCAACCACGCTCTCGTATATTTCCCCATCAGAAATACTTTGTTGACCCAGCTAACATTCTAATAACCCCCACAAGACTTGGACAGGCTTATTCTGGTGGAGGAAACAGGAACAACAGCTGAGGTAGGTAGGACCCATTGCTGGACTTCTCATCTTTCATTTGTGAAATTGTGGTGGATAATGAACCTCAACGTGTCACAATCCTGTGCCTGCGCTGTCCTGTAGCTTCTAACAAAAGAAGATTCCCTTAGCGGCAGGCACAGAGTTGGATGCAGAAATTTTGAACTCGATCGATCGGCTATGCATGGGTTAGGTTGGCAACAGTCTCTTGGTAATAATGTTGGAAAAACAGAAGCTTTTGTAACGAATCCCATCCCTTGTTTCTGCTTTACTTACTTTAAATTTGTATTTGTGTGTGAAGCAGCATGAAGCATCTAGACCTAACTAAGACAACCAAATTAATTAACCACCAAATGTAATTGTCAATCAACTTTGCCTCTTAATTAATCGGCATCCAAAATGCACAAACCACCTCAGATATATGCTTAGTGCCTAAGCTAACATAGAATAACACCACTTAACCGGCCTAATATATTTCTTCCCTAGATACTCCCTCACTTTCCCGTGTACTCAAATACCCTCCCACTAACCCTTACTAAAATCAATTACCAAGGATACCACTGTATTTTCGCATTTTTGTAACAAACAAATATTCCCTCCCTTGGACCTTTATATACGAATAAACCGTTTTAAGCACAATCGCACACACCCAAAACGCATTATTGACCAGACAAAAAGACCAATTAATGGCGTCCGGCCACGAAGTCCAAGTCAAGCTCTCCTCCGCCCGCGACCTCAAGAACGTCAACTGGCGAAACGGCCTAGTGAAGCCGTACGCCGTCGTATGGGTCGACCCCAATAACAAGTTCTCCACCAGGGTCGACGAGGAGGGTGACACGTCACCTTACTGGGACGAGACGCTCACCATCCCTCTACCGGGTCCTGTCGACGGCGACACCACGCTCTACATCGACGTCGTGCACGCCGGATCCGACCCGGCCACCAAGCCACTGATCGGGTCCGCCCGGCTCAAACTCCGCGAAGTCGTCGATGACGTGGGCTTCGACGAGCGCGCCAGCCGCACTCTGCAGCTCAAGCGACCCTCTGGCAGGCCCCAGGGCAAGGTTGACGTTAAGGTTACTATTAGGGAGCCGCGCTACCGTCCGCCGGAGCCGTACTACGCTCAACCTTATGGGGTCCCACCAGCGGGGTCGCGAGATTATCCTGCTCCGCCGCCGGCGTATGGCGCACCGTACGCCGCACCCCCACCGCCGCCGCCATATGGGGCACCATACGCCCCACA